GGAAATCAGGCAGAGATGCCTTCCAGAGCTGAGGGGGCCTCTTGGCATTTCCCTGGCAGCCTTGTGCTTCTCACCAGCCAGAACCCAGGCACTCATTAGGATGTTGATGAAAAGCATCCCCAAGAAAATGCCAGCAAATTGTGCCTCTGTGCTGGCAGGGAACGAAACTGCTCGGAGCGAGTAGCGCCGAGAGAGCTGTTGCAATGATAGGTAACATCAAGGGTGTGATCACCGACTCACACAGGCATTGGGAGTCAGGATGTGGCTTTCTGCCTCCCCAGGGACAGCAGGAGGCCCTCCTGTCTGTCAGCGCCATCAGGACATCAGACAGGAAGGTGGCCCTTGGGAGTCAGGCTTTGCCGGGCCTTGGGAAGTGCAAGGAACGCGGTTTTCTTTCTTTTCTCAGTGGAATCTCTCCTAGAAAATCAGAATTTTTTTTAAAAAAGGTTTTTGTTTTTTATTTTTTCCTGGCCTCAAACACCTAAGAGCAAATTAAGTTTGAAAAAAAAAAAATTCCAAAAGTCCTATAAGTCCTATTAAAGCAGGGTCAGACAGGGCAGGGGGCAAAAGACAGAACCCTGGAACCTGCAAATCTGGCCAAAGACAGATGGAAGGTATTTTAATTCCAAGGAAATTTTTTGTGGGTAGCAATACTGGTATCCTGAGGTTAAAGTAGCCACCAGAGAGAGCAGGGAAAGGGGCAGCAGAGGCCAGGACCAATGTGCCGCAGGGCAGGCTGAAGTCTTCATCCAGCTGGGTGTGGTACGCAGAGTAACGTCCCCCAGAGATGGTCAGGTCCTGTTCACAGAGACTCATGACTATGCTGCCTTACCTGGCAAAGAAGAATTAAGGTTGCTGATTAGCTAGCTTAAGACCGGAGATTACCCTGTATTCTTTCCGTGAGCCACTTGTAATAACAGAGGTCCTTAAATATGGAAACAGGAGGCAGAGGTGGTGGTTAGCATGAATACGATGTGAGGACTCAGAAAGTCATTGCTGGCTTTGAAGTCATGGGAAGGCGGCTTCAAGCTAAGGAATGTGGCTGGCCTCAAAAAGGTGGAAAAGGGAAGGAAATTGATTCTTCCCAAGGCCCTCTAGAAAGGAACGCAGTTCTGCTGACCCCTTGATTTTAGCCCAGAGAAAACTGGGTTAATTTTTGACCTCTAGAACTACATGATAATAAATTTGTATTTTTTACATCATTATATTTGTGATCATTAACAACAACAGCAGTAGAAAATGAATACATTGGTATTTAGGAGACGTGTCTGAAGTTCCAAAAAGCAATTTCCAAGTTTATGTACAATTCTTGGAGCAGGAAAGTAAATGGTGAGCAGTGGAAAGATTTAAAAGGCACATTTCTGTGTTAGAACTGTAAGACGTATTCCATACATCATCTCCGCTAATCTTTACAACATTCTTACAAGGATGTATCATCATTTCTGATGTGTAGATGAGGATCTTTTTATAAAGTAAAACATATAATACCCTTGAACAGATTAAAATCTTCCAGTGGGTCCTGTCTTACCTAGATGAAAATCTGAACTTGTAATGCTAAGCTATGAAGCTCTACTTCAGTAGGACCCATGGTGTAGACTGCTTTAGTGTCACCTGGGGCTTTGTTAGGTGAGCAGAGCCCAGGCCTGCTACAGACTGTCTCAGTCAGAGGCTCCGGGGTAAGAGCTCAGGAATATGTGTCTTTGCCTGCACTCCCAGGGATTTTTATACATTTTAAAACACTTGAGAAGCACTATTGCACGTGATGGGCACTCACACCTCTCCAGCCACGTCTACTGCCAAGCTCAACCTTGCTGGGCCCCAGTCTTCTCCCCTTCCCCGAGTGAGTCATGTTCACGCCCATCTTGGGACTTCTGCATAGTCTTGCTCTTTACGTATTAGTCTCATCCCTTAAAAACGTGTCTTTTAGCTAATATCTTCACAGTCTATTAAGGTTTCCCTGTCTGTGAGTTCATGAGAGCCAAAGAAAGGATGCTAATGGGACTGGCACCCCAAGATTATGATTTGAGATATAAGAGACCCACTTTCATGAACAGAAAACTGTAGAAGATAAGAAAATAGACATCAGTTCTTGACTACATACATTTAAGTTTTGCTATCAGTTTTAGCAATTGTAATCACAATGCTTTTGTTTTTTTTCTCTATGCCTTGAAGAATCTCACCTCTGTTACCATTGGGAAAACTTTTCGTGCTAGTAAATACCATAGTTTTCCAGCTTATGATCTTGCTTGCACTATTTATTAAAATCCTTTTTTGAAAAGAGGATTTAATAAGCAAATATTACTTTCAGAACATACTCTGTATGTTAGCTGGTATATGCTGAACCCGTGGTAATGATGGATCCTTTTGCTGGGGAAGCACATATGCTGTTTCGATGCCTGAAGTTTGCCGTGTTTACAGTGAGTCCTGTTGTATTTCACACGTCTCCTGGCAAGGTCTTTAAGGCTAACTGTTTTCCTCTTTTATAAATTAGCTTCAGTAGATTATTTTTATAGTGAAAGCATTGAAACAGTATCAAAGTTTAATTCTATTGAAAATCATAGCTTTACCCAGAGGAGTATTTAGCATTTTTTAACCTTCACAATAAGCCCCTATGGCAATCAATACACCCAGGATGTTGGCAGTGTTATGTACTAGAAAAGTGTTTCTTACGTAACATTGGGCATTTCTGGCTGGTGGGTGGCTTTCTCACAACTTTTAGGGCTGCAGAACCTTCTGCATGTAGCCAGCAGGAGAGTGTAGAGAAGGCTCACCTGTTTCTTGAAGGTGAGGTGCTCATCTTCCCTTGGCTAGAATACGTCACGAGGCTACAAATGGATGCAAGATGGATGGAGAACTGTTGCTCCGGGGGGTGGGGGTGGGGGGCAGCTGTTCCTAGTCACAAAATTGTTCTGTGAAAGGGAAGAACAATTACTGGTGGGACGCCAGCTATCTCAAAAACTCTTGTGTAAATTATTTTAGCACCGCATTAGACTGTGGTTGTGAACAAAATGCAAATGATTGATCACAGCCAGTACATCTCTCTTTCCTGGTACCATCTGTGCCTTTCTCCCTTTTAGTAGTACTCTCCTTTATACGCTTAGAGCACCTAATAGTTCCTCATTTAGAATTTCTCATCATTCTTACAATTATTTATTTGTTCTACTGCATGTAAGCTTGTTAAGGGTCGGACCATGAACTCGTCAAGGCATGTCCAGTACCCTCCGTGATGCCTAGCACAGTCCCTCACCTACAGTGGAGTCAGAGTAACTTATTCTGGACCAATGAATGAATGAAAGTACTAAATCTCTATTGCAATATGTTATCTTTTAAATTACTTCTTGTCTTGTAAGAACTACCTGCAATCTTTTTTTTTTTTTTT